GTTGGAACATGTGATGTCGAAATTCCCCGATGCTTCGGAAAATTGCTTTTTGCTTTCATTTTTCCAAAACAATGAATGCGCAAATTTCATAACGCTCTCGCGGAATGCGCCTGTGACGTAATACATTGATATACGAATACAAAATATTAACTTTGATGTGGCATTTTATACTTACTTTTAATATCATCATCATCAGCACATATTCGTCCCCTGCTGGAAATAGACCTCTCCTATGGCACGCCACTGAGCACGATCTTCGGTCATTCTCATCCAGCTCTTGCCAGCTGCTTGCGAAGATCATCGCTCCACCGAGTCTGAGGACGTCCTACGCTACGTTTGCGGACCCGCGGTCTCCACTCAAAAACTCGTCTACTACAACGTTTATCGGTTCTTCGGGTTATATTACCGGCCCATTGCCACTTCAGTGTGCTAATGTGGTGGGCTATGTCGATAACTTTTTATATGGGTTTTCTTAATTAATGACTAATTAAATCTGATATTTAACTGTAACACAAGATTATAATACCTCATCCAAACTATATTCTTGAATCAATGTGAAACAACATGAATAAAATTATAATGACTTAAAGGTTTCCTAGAAAATTCCCTTTTAGGAAAACGTTTACCTTTCGACATATCCTCACAAATAATGGTGTGCAAATTTTTTATTTTCATTTTACTTTTAACCATAAATTAATATTGGTTTGTTCCAATCAATCGTAAATTATATATTCCTTATTTTAGAAAATTAGGTCATCAGAGTGTATACAGTATTAAAACGAAGTATAACAGAGTAATTGTAACGTTCGGAATAACATTCCGCTTTTCATCCTATGAATAGAGAGAGCTAAAGCCAATTTCGTCGGTGGCTCAGGGGTCAAGCACTTGACTTGCAATCTGCAGGTCCTGGGTTCAAATCCCGCCATGTACCAATGTGTTTTTCTATTTACGATTTACATATGTACATTTATCCGACGTTCTTACAGTGAAGGAAAACATCGTGTTGCAACCTGCACATGTCTGAGAGGAGGTTCAAAGATATGTGTGAAGTCAACCAACCCGCACTTGGCCAGCGTGGTTGACTATGGCCTAATCACCCTTAATTTAGGGTAGGCTCCGAGCCCCTCGGTGGGGACGTATAGTGAGCTGATGATGATGAAAGCCCATTTATAACGAAAATTTACCAATAAATATAGAGAGGATTAATTTATTTATTTGTAAAGTATATTTTTGTTATTCAGTGATACATTTAAATTACAGGATATTATAATTACAAATTGTGAAATATTTAAGAGAAACAATGAACCGTACTACCGTAGGAAATCGTAAATCAAAGTGTTTCACTCAAAATTAAATCTACTCGAGCGTTTGTTCATAAAGTACAGATTAAATTCAATTAAGTGCTACTTATTATTAAATGCTACTTTAATTAATAGTATTCTTCTTATATCATAAGGTGGCAAACGATGGCGCTGCAAATTAATTCGCCGAAACACCGAAGTGGTCTCTGCCCATAGACATCCACAATTGCAGATGCATTACCTATCTTTAATCGATACATGAAGGGACGCACTGGAATAGTATGTTTTCCCTTTCCACTTCCCCTCTCCATCCTTTCGTTATAAGAAATCAGTGCGTAGGGAAACGGGACTAATATTAGCTTGACTCGTTAAAGTTGATCACCCAACAGTCTTCTCAAATAAATTAATCTATACTATACTAAAGTTTAATTATTTTAGACAATCATAAAATCTTAATAACATTTAAATATTACAGTTAGTTTGTGTGTCAGTACTTATAACACGTCTATTTAAAAATGAATAATTTCGATTTTTTTTAATATATTCATTTTATTCATTTGAATTGCAGTGAAAGCTTTTACATTTAAAAAGGTACGTCTTGAATAATTTATGTAAACCGTAATGCATATTTACATTTTAAAGAAAATCTAAAAAAAAACGTGCTACTCAGTAGTTTTCCTATTTATTAATGGAAATATAATTTTTGCAATTGAAAATATGTTTGTTAAATTTAATAAGGTAATCTTACTAATACTATAAATGTGAATGTTTGGATGTATGGATGTTTGTTTGAAGGTATCTTCAGAACACTTGCAGGGCTCTCGTTGAAATTCGGCAAAGTAGAACACAGTCTGGAATAACACATAGGCTACTAATTACGTTTTTTTTTAATTCCGCCCGGAAGAAGTCGCGGTCGGCAGCTATTTTCAAAATAAGTATAAGCTTTCATTCTAATATTTAGTAACATACCGAATAAGTTTTTAATATAGAATGAATTTCTTAACATCTTGAACAAATCTTGAAAAGTACTTTTAAACAAAATAGTTAACATCTAAAAGATACTCGTAGATTGTAAATCTCTATAAGCTGTTAGACATCGACCACTTTTAACATATGAGGGTATTTTAATGGAAACAAGCAATAACTTATCAGGGTCCGCATTCAAACCTCCCAACTATAAACATTAAATAACTGCTTCAGACATGTGTAAATTATTAGTTAAGAGTTTTAATATGATTTATGTAATAAACTAAAAACATAACATAACTATAAGCATATTTTATCGAAGATATGACTTTAAATTATTTATGTATAAACTCATATATACCTTTTATTATCTACATATCAAAATATACATCTTTGGATCATAGATTTTATTTTTGTAAGTTCAGAATTGTTGTAAATATGATTTGAATATAAACTTTCATAATTAAAACTTATATATATATATATATACAAATATTATGAAGAATCACATAATATTATGTCTACTTTTTTATCATGAGGTGGTAAATGAGCGAGCGGCCACCTGAAATCGCTGAAGTAGCGAAGTGACCGTTGCCCATAGACATACGCAATTGCATATGCGTTGCCTACCTTTAATCGACGGAGGAGAGGATGCACAGAAAGAAAATTCCTTTCCATGCATCCTCTCATCCGGAAAGTCCACTTCCACTTCCCATCCTTTCCTTATAAGAAAAGGGTGGGAGGGGAAAGAGGACTAAATTAGGCCTCAGGGACGCACACTCATCAGACGAAACGCGGAATTGCTTCCACTTCACGCCTGTTTTCTGTGTGGTGGTGGTATTTCACCGGGCGAACTTGGCCAATTCGTGCGAAGATGTTAAAGCGGGTTCTACCACTCTTTAAAACTGCTACTTTCTACACGACCATTTCAGTAAGTTTAACTGAATAAAATGATGTACAAAACGCTCTACTATGTACGTCCTAAATTCATCCATACTCTTGAGATCGACTTTAAAATATTAACAAGCACTAGAGCTCAATTTAGAACTGAACGTATTCCACATTTTTGCAGCACATTTTAACAGCAATACAAAAAATTGCTTGAACAAATTCAAATGAAGCTTAAATTAAATATTTTACATAAGTTATTTTGTTACATATTGACCCTTCCTATGTATTATATAATTAATAATATCACATCTAAATCTGATTCTATTATTTTTTAATTTTACAAACAAGATCTACTTTTAAAAACAAATACGGTGTCGCGGGCGACCGACTCCGTATTTAATCGTCTCTTATGTCCGTTTATGTGCTATATGTATGCCAAATTTCATCGAGATCCGTTGAGCCGTTCTGCAGATACCTTTAAACAAACATCCAATAATCCATCGATCCATCTAAACATTCGCATTTATAATATTAATAAGATTGTCTGTCCGCGGTGGATTAAAAAATAGATAGTAACCGCTTCTCAGACCTAATGAATATGCATACAAAATTTCATAAAAATCGGTCAAGCCGTTTCGGAGGAATATGGTAACTAACATTGTGACACGAGAATTTTATAAAGATTGATTCTAACACAGCCTATAATTTGGTTTTGATATATGAAACCTACAATACTTTTGAGCCGGACTGTACTTCAAGTTTGTTGCTGTACATCTCAAGTTACATGAGCCAAGTATTATTGACCGTTTGCATGCTGGTGTATTTAGTTGGCTACTTCAGACCGACAATAACACTTAAATCGGAGTCAGGACGTTTCCTCGCAGTACAAATGACAATGCTTCGGACAGGTTACTACTGATGTTGAATATTGCAGTATACATTTGAAGTATACACAAGAATAACTTAGATTAACTTAATATACATTTAACTACAAAGTGACTTAAATTATGTTCTTAATTTAAGACACTTTCAATCGTCAAATGTATAACATTTTTTCTTCACATTTTGTATCATTATCCTATTTTAAATTGAATATTTTAATGTGATATTTTAAACGACTACTATTTTAATCTTATAAGTAACATAGATTCATTCTTTATCTTATCAACCCTAGACTGCGTCCGCGAGGATTTAAAAAAAAACTTAATTAGTAGCCTATGTGTTCTTTCAGACTATGTTCTACATCTATGCAAAATATCAGCGAGATCGGAATAGCCGTTCCGGAAATACTGCCTAACAAACATGCATCCATTTAAACTTTCGCATTCATAATATATGTTAAATTATACGTTTACCTACAAACTATTAAAATGTTAACAATAATATTTTAAAGTAAAATAATTAAATTTAATTCGTCGCTGCTCTCAAGGCAATAAAGTCCAATTTCGCATCGTAAATATTGCTGCAATTATGTTTGGTATAATAGTTATTTATTGTCAAGTTAATGGACAGAAATCTGCGTGTGTCACGTGTCACGTATGGCTAATTAACGGCCTGTGCTGCCCTCTGCCGGCCGCTTATTGAAATAGACGGCAATATATTAAGCCAGCATTTTGATGCGATTCATTACTGCCCATTGGGAGATTTCATGATCGTTCATGATTAGTTAAATTTTAATTCGTAAATTACTCATATTAAAAATGTAAAAAAAGGTTTCTTATATATTGCCAGTATCCAAAATTATAGTTTGCGCTAGAAATTCTACGGTTAAATTAAAAAAATATTATTTTAGCTGCCAATTTACTTTTTTTTTCATATACATCTATATAACCTTAGACCTTATAGACCTTGGGGCCTTGGGGTGCGGAAGCCCGTCGCCTGTTTAAGGAGATTTCCGCACGCCTCATCGACGCCTCAGGGGATCCAAGGGCTGGTGCACATTTCGGCCAAAGGTTGAGCCTGGCCATCCAACGGGGAAATGCCGCCAGCCTCTTGGGGACCCTACCGTGCGACCGCAGCGATTTGGGGTCGATTTTTTATATCATTTAATTTTATTTTTAGTTTGGTTTAGTTTTAGTATATAGTTTATAGTATTATTTTGGTAGTTTAATTAATTAGTCATTCAATTACTGTAAGTCTATATAACCACTATTCAATTTTTGTATGTTTCTTCTCTATGCGTTCCTAAATCATTATTATATTACTGCACTTACAAGCCCGCAAAAGTTTCGTCTTAACTCAAAAAAATCCTTAATTTAATTCTTCGATTGATTACATAACATTTCGTGTTCATTGAATTTTTAAATTTTTGTATAGTTAAGTTCGAGTTTCACTACTTTTGCACGGAAATAATTTAAAAAAGATATTTTAAAATTACGTATAAACAATCTTTTTTGTGTTATGATATCAACGCTCGGTAAATTAAACGTTGAACATCGAATACAGGGATTTAGAAATGCGGAAAAATCGCCGGTGTTTATAGCGGGCGAGCTCCGAGGTTTATATAAATTTATTTTATTTAGTGGATAAGAAGGACTAATGTGCTTCAGGGAGTGAGAAACCTGCTTGGATTATATTTGTGTGTCTTACTCGTACTTTTCTTTTATTATTTAATGTAGTTATTTATGTGCTTGTTTTTCAGAATTTGTAATGAAAAAGGAATTGGTACAAAAATGTTTGAGGAATCTTTTATGAATCAACATTAAAGATTAAAGACAACGCCATCTACAATTAAATTTACGTAACTAGAAGTTTTGTTTTTTCAAGTTTTCAAATAATTGTTACTAATTCACATTTTATGTTTCTATATGTAATAAATAGTGTATTACTGAAACAAAATGCATACTGCATTTTAGAGGCGTACGTAAAAATGATAAAAATGTCCCACAGACAAAAAATTGAGGTCTTTGAATGCACGTAGAGCTAATTAAGTGAGATATACGAGCGTGATAAACCGACAGTTTTAAATGTAATATCATTACAAACGACTGGAATAACAATTAAACGTACTAGTTAACATTGTAATGTTAAAGTCGGAGACATTTGGCCTTGTGCCAGCCGGCGCTATAAAAGCAGATATTATTTTAATGTTTCCATCCGTTAGCGGTTGGTATAATTTTAATAAAACTTTCCATCCATTCAATTCCCCTTAAAATACAGTTGATGAAAGATAAATTGTGTAGATCTCAAAGGGGAATGCTTCAAAAGATATCAAGTTAACAATTTGTAAACATCTGTTACTTTAAGAGAAATTTTGTAACTTATAAGTGTACAACATAGGCTAGTAACATAGATATTCCTTTCTCTGTTCTCTAGTTCATAGATGGGGAGTAGGAGAGGGGGGGGGAGGTTACAATTAAAGAAGACTTTAAAACAGATCACAGATATACTGCGTACATACATATCTGTCTTATAAAAACTTCCACATACGTACCAAACTTCGTAAGACAAATATAAAAAAATGGGAGTTCAAAAACTTATTGTTAAAAATAATAATATTATATAAAAGTAGGCATTTAGAGTGAGACAAAATACAATCTAGTTTCGATGTACACAGACCTCTATCTACAAAGGAAATGTCTGCATTTAAGTCTTATCATATTCACATTTAAAACACAACAGAGTTCAGCGGAGTAAGTTAAATAATTTAGAAACGTTTAGTGTTGATTTAACAAGAACAAAATGTGGTTTAAGAGTTTTATGTGCTGTGTTATTTTGGCTCAAGTGATCGCCTATTCAACAAAGGGAATTGAATCAAGTGGAAATAAGCTAATAAGTCGAAATATTGGTAAGTGTTTTGCTTCTTCTTTTTAGCTTACGTATTTATGGGCATCAGGACTGGTAATACCGAGTGTACATTCCCAAAGACTTGTACAAAAAAGGCACATTCATATGACTATAAGAAAATAGCTGTAACAACAAACTAAATATATAGTTCTGTAAATATTTGACAGTTGAAATATAGAGTTAGAATATTTTTATGATGCCATCGGTAAGCGAGAAGTGACACTATTTGTAGACAATAGAATGCGAATGCGAACAATATATAAACAAGCATAGAAACAAAATAAAATCGTTTTAATGTTCGTACAAAATTCTCACATCTTATCCCATAATACTAACTTGTATTGCACACAGATGCTGTGAATTTAGGCATGCTTGTTAAGGTTTTATATTTATTTGCTTTAATATTATCGTATCCAAGATCACTTATAATGAAGCAGAATGTGGTAAAGTAATTTAGTGCTAACTTGTTCATTGTTTCATTGAGAATATTGAGGAAAGCACCAAAACATTATGTATCTGTTTACAGAGTAAGTAATACATCAATTTTACCTTATCTTTTTCAGTTGAAGTCCCTCCATCGACCAGGAATGAGCTTCCTTGCCTCGCAATCGGAGGGAATTGTTTAAACATCAACCTGTGCCCTGAAGACAGGCGATCACTGGTTAAAGGGTTGTGTCCTGCGCAAGAACAGCAAGACATTGATTGTTGTGACCTAAGTATGTTTTCTATTTTGTCTCTACTTTTAGCACGTCTTCTGACTGTAAAGTACGCTTTGTTAAAGAATATCAGACTTAAATATTAATAGATAATAGATGGATGTTTGAAGGTACCTTCGGAACGAACAAACGGATCTTGATGAAATTCAGCACAGATGTAGAAAATAGTCTGGACGAACACATAGGCTACTTACCAAGTTTTTTTTTATCCCAAGCGGACGGTGTCGCGGGCCACAAAAAGTATATAATAACAATTGGTTATTTTTGAATATTTTTATTTTTTACAGGATCTTTAACGGGTGAAGCATGTGCTAAAAATGGAGGGATGTGTGTTTCTCGTTATGAAGATTGTGATGAAAAAATTACGTTCTTCGAGGGTGGTGATTGCACGATAAATGAAAAATGCTGCTAATGAATAAATCATAACAGAAAAATGAGAATCTGCTTTAAAAATATGCTTATGCATAAAAAATAAAGCTTAAAAAATTACCTCTGATGTCTTTTGGTTTAACTAATGCCCCAAATATTGTGTATTAGTACGTCAATCGTAAGTATGTCCTTTTCAATCACTTTATCTCTTTTTATCATCTTTGTTGACTTCGACACATAATAATGATCTACCCACAACTATCAATCAATAATATAATGTCGAGTCAAATTGATGACAAAACTTTAACACAATCAACAATGAAATTGATAATAGCCCGTACTTTGACAATTTCATAAAAGACTAAATATATATCAAAGAGATAAATAAACATGAATATAGCAAAAAACCCGTGTAATAAACAATTGTTATCGAATTGAAAAGTTAATTTGCATAGTATAGATGCGGGCGCAATTGTATAAATGTGTTAGAGTTCCACAACAAAATACATTGGATGCAGAGAAGCTTGCTCTGTAGTGTTTAAAATGTTGATTATCAACGTTTCAATCCTTGTGTTAATATCCACCACATGTGCGACAGTGTTACCTTACTTAAATAAGGATGAAAACAAGAGCGGTTAGTATGATTTTTTCTATGGGATATACATACACGCAATTGTGAAAATAATTCAACTAAAAAACTATCGTTTTAGCAATAGAAGTGTTTCTCAGCTAAGCTTAACTAGTTTAAATTTGATTTCGTTGAATTTATTAAAGTCCAATAAATCAATTTTTGCACCTAAATTTACTTGATACATGTTAAATCAATTATAATAAGCAATAAGGTGAATGCTGTTCAACAAAATTATACTGATACTGTACTTCGCCCGCGACTCCGTCCGCGCGGAATTAAAAACTAAGGAATTAGCTAGATCAATGCAGCCGTTCTAGTGATACTTTCTAACAAACATCCATGCATTCAAACATTCGCATTTATAATATTAGTAAGGTAGAAAGATTGAATATCTAATATTAATACAGTATGAGTTGGAATATCACTTACAAAACTTGAATTAGTCTTTATCTTGAACTATTGCAGATACGTTCAATGAAATACCATGTTTGAGTTTCGGAGGTATTTGCATCCCGACTGTTGAATGTCCCGAGGGACAACGATCTCTCGGCGGCCTGTGTCCGCTGCAACAGAGGATGAACATCGAATGCTGCTATTCACGTAAGTTTAGCGCCTCTAAACAACGACTGTGCTGCAAAATATTCACTTTAATATAAGTAGTCGATTGGTAGGCAATATTATTTAGTCTGATCTTATCGTTATTTGTCTCACTCCTTTTGCATAAGCATTGCATGAATTTGCATGCGTCTGCGCGATATTGAAAAAACTTAGTAGCTTTTGCATTCTTTCGGACTATGTTCTACATATATGTCAAATTTTAGCGAGACTCTTTGAGCCCTTCCGGAGATACCTTCAAACAAACATCCATCCATCCATCTAAACATTCGAATTTATAATATTAAAATAATTTATAACATAGGTATATACTACACAAATGCTTAAAGACTTTTTTATTATTAGAGACCATTTTTCTTTATTTTTAGAACATAAAATATGATTGAAATATTTTAAAAAGGCTTTTTAATAAACTTATGGAATTTCAGACGTTCTAAGAACAGAGGGTTGATAAAAATCTCGTGGGAAATTTTTCTATCGTTATTTGAACGGAATCAGAAGCTTGTTTTATAAAAGCTTTATGGTTTTGCTTACAGTGCCGCTATCAGAGAACAGATGTCATCGTCGTGGCGGTCTCTGTATGGATCGAGACGCGACTTGTCCAGAAAAACTTTTGTTCAAAGAAGCGCGCGATTGTGAGGTTAATGAAAAATGTTGTATCTTAGTCCATTGAAATCTGATATGTAGTTAAGTTTTTGGATTTTTTTAAAATAAAATTGAATATTTTCATAGTCTTTAGTACTTGACGCACTAAAGTTCGTTATTCGATCCCTTAGTCTTCTAGTTTTGTAAAATGATTAATTATCGTCAGTTTTCATCAAACATTTGTACGAAAATACATAGTCGTTTACCGTTAATTTAGTCTATAAGTACATTTAAATTAAAAACAATAAAATATTATAGTATCAACAATGAGATCAAAACTTTAAGTAAAATGACAGTTTAAGAAATGAATCCTTTGTTCAAACATTTCTCAAACAGCATTAGTCTGATTGCGACTCGCAACAACTAAAAGTAACACTGTCTTAAGTTCTAGTACTTTCCACTCTTACTTTATAGTTTCAAAACTGTCACACAACTTTTATTATAGCACAAAAGCAATATTATTTTAGTTACGCTGACAAATTTTAATTGTATCACTTTAACTTTACTTACCTGACACTTGTTATATAAAAACTTTTTTCACATTAGCAGTAGTAACAGATTAATAAAGGAAATTTATGGCAAGAAAGCAAGCGGCAGTGTCGGTGGAGGATTACAGAAAAGAGTGAGGAACGAACAAGCATCCATGGGAGTTCGCCAAAATAGCGATATGACTGCTAACCAAAGGCATCCACATTTGCGTATGCTTTGCAGAAAGAGAATATTCCCCTACATATGCATCTCCCCAACAAATCCACTTCCCATTTCCTTGTACGAAAAAGATGGAAGAAGAAGACTAAAGTTTTCACGAATATTCATCAGACGAAACGCGAAATTATTAACACTTCAAGTCTTCTGTGTGATCATGGTATAGCGCCGGTACAGCTAGACTAAGAAGTTATTGCAAGCTCTCCTAACCGTTGAAAAACCGATGTCGTGATTTAACATTGTAAATTACGAAAAAGACAATAGTTAAGTAAAAACTATGCCTTATTATGAAGTATTTTTTACATTTCAGTTACTCTGTATCAGTGTTCGATAAAAAACAAAATTTTACGGTCACATAAAACAAAAGCTTATAATTGTTCTCAAATCACACGTAATATCGATTGAATACGCTTATATCTTACTAAGCCAGCTACGATTATTCTATGTAACAAATTGGATTTCTCTTTTGCGGTTTACTGCAAGCTGGAAAACAATTGTGTAACAATTTATTTGATTGTTCGTGCGTGAATAGCTGTTATTGATGGATCCCATGCATGCTTACTTCGCAAACAAAGTCTTATCGATAATACAAGTAAATGCCTTCGACTAATGTATTGAGGAAAAAATATTATTTCATAATATTATCAAGGTCAGATGTATTTTGTTACTCTATTCATGCATCATTAACTTAATCCTTGATCGGTGAATAGAATTATTGTATCGTGGTAAATATCTCTATTTAAAGCGTCGGTGGCTCAGGGGTCAAGCACTTGATTTGCAATCTGCAAGTCCTGGGTTCGAATCCCGCCATGTACCAATGTGTTTTTCGATTTCTGATTTACATATGTACATTAGTCCGACGTTCTTACGGTGAAGGAAAACATCGATGTAACCTGCACATATCTGAGAAGAAATTCAAAATATATGTGTGAAGTAAATCAACCCGCATTTGGCCAGTGTGGTTGACTATGGTCTAATCACCCTTAACTTAGGGTAGGATCCGAGCCCCTCGGTGGCGACGTATAGTGAGCTGATGATGATGAAATATCTTTATATATATCATTTTTGCATAGTAGTAAATACTTTTAAGTGATACACAGGACGCCTTTTAAAACCCAAACAGTGCTATCTTGTTCGCTGCCTTGACACTATTATGTTTGAGGCGATACACACAAATTTACAACAAACCTCACGCCCGTAATGTTTAAGATTAGGCAGAGGCCACTAAATTCATCTTATCGCGGTACTGAACACCTCTCACACTTCTTCTACATTTAAACATCTATGTATGTACGCCTTAGTTTCTAGTGCTCTTAATGACAGTGCCCTTCTTGAGTATTCAATCTGGACGATTTAAGTTCATCTATGATGGCCCCGACCAACTCTGCCTCTTACTTTCCTTTTCTAATCTATAATTTTAATCATCTTTTATCATAGCAACAATCTCACTGACATAATCTGATTTACTGTTTTATTAAACAATTAGCTGTCGCCCGCGACTCTGTCCGCACGGAATAAAAAAATGTTAATAAGTAGACTACGTGTTCTTTCAGATTATGCTCTACATCTATGCCAAATTTCAGCAAGATCCCTTCGGCCGTTCTGGAGATACCTTCAAACAAATATCCATCTAAACATTCGCATTTATAATATTAGTTATTTCCTATTGTCGTCATGTATACACAATAGAGTACAAGGTTTATTAAGTCAGAGGTGTCGTACGAGGCAGTTAATTTTGCAAACGCTCTCCGAAGGGCATTAGCCTGAATGCAAACTAAACCGCAACAAACTGCAACAAATAATGCAACAGTAGCAGTAACTTCCGTACCGTATTCCACTAAAGTTTGAACTTAAGAAACGACTCTCGGGAATATTAAAGCGGAATTGAATGTGAATACATTTATAAGCGTATATTCGCTTGTTTAAAAGTATCTTTTACGATAGAGCTATGGAAGAAACAATTATTTGAAAAGTAATTTAAAGGACAATTTTTTTATGGCAAATGGTCTTGATAGATAGACAGACAGACGGCAAAAAATGATATAAGGGTTCCGTTGTTTTTCTTTCTAGGTACGGAACTCTAAAAATGACAATTTCCAACTTTATCAAATTCAAAGGGGGTGACAAAAGTCCCGGAAAACTTACTCTGCAAGGCCGTGCTCTGCTCGATGTCGGCACAGTGGCGCCCCCATAGAATAAGGGTTGGAATATAATTCTCATTAAAATAATTGCGAGTTGTTATCATTTGTCGCAGCTGAGTGATATTCCCGCGTCGCAGCCGCGGCCCGCATTACCTGAATTTAGTGATAAATTACCGGAGAACTCGCTGTGGTGAATATAGTGATATAAGATATTGTTTTACATCAAGAGTGATCTATACCTATTACATACATAAATGATATTGATGTTTCGAATACAATAAAACTTGTATATATTAGTACATGTTATTGGTGTGAAGTTGTGGAGAACTTACTATCAGATTTCGTCTATTCTTTGGTGATAATTGTAGACGCAGTCAAAGGGTTAAAACGTGACATTAACGCAATTCTACGTATAGAAAATTTCCCATAATGTTATCTTGTTACTTGTGACCCGTGTTCGTAATTTACTTTCTAAAGCTTTATAGGTTATGTACATAATGTTATCGTTTTTAGGGTTCCGTACCTCGAAAGAAAAAAAACGGACTTACCCCCTCTGTTGTCCGTCCGCCTATTCTTATGTCACGATCCTTCTTCTCAGGAATGAGTGGAACTATCAAGTTGGATTTATGACAGATACTCAGGTCTAATGTCCCTTAGAGCTGTGAAAAAAATCAAACTTCTAAACCAACCCAATCAAAAAACACTGTAGTTTATGCCGCAAACCGCAAATTATCGACACTCGCAAGAGAATCAAAACCTACAGGGTATTTCCCGTGAATCTTGAAACTTTGTACGACGTTTGATAGTAGAGATATAGGGATTGATGCGAAAACCGTAAAATTTACTTATATGTTTGTACGGAACACTCAGCGCTCGAATCGGTCTCGCACTTTCCCAGATTTTTTTTTAATAAATAGTATTGGTTTCATTCCGTTTAGATGGAGGAATATATGATAGAAATCAAACATAATATCACACAGTAATTGTTATATGTATGTTGCAGTGAACCACAGGTGATCCCAAATAAATTATGGTCTTATTATAAAATCAATTAATTTGAGTATTATTTCCGCGGCCAAATTTAATCAATACCGCAGATATAAAGTGCTTGAACCGCAAAATACCAAAATGGAGCACAAAATCCTTAAATTTAATTGTATTACGCCGTTGCCATGATCGAGCAATGTTGAATTTTTATCAAAATTTCGTTCCATATTTACATTGAAATAAAAATCCAGTAACGTTTTTTTATATAATATTAATCTAAATTGATTTTCTAATACGTATTGTTGACTACTAAGTTGACTTTAGTATTTTCCATTGTTCATTTGAACGCATACGCAAATACAGACTGTATAGTAGGTCTAGCACGAATGTTTGCGACAAGCGTATTCGTATTATCATCGTCAATTATGTCAAAATGAATGAGATTTTAGTGTACTTTACGACCGATAGGGGCGCTGCACAAATTTTAATACTAGACCCACTATCGTGGAACAATAAAAAAAATGATTCAACTGTCTTATGTGAAAAATAAATCTCTTTATCTAATGTATTGCGATAATTGCCATAATAAGAAGCAGGTGCCAAATGTTATGTAGACAAAATATTTCATGTCACACTTTGCTGGTCTAATCCTTACTGCTTGACTAATGGGACGGCTCATGATTAATGATGCCGGAAAGTACTGATGAGTTATTGTTCTGTCATTTCGTGGTACAAGGAGGTAAACCTTCATATTCAATGGACATTTAGTAAATACTAGCTGTCGGTCTCGACTCCGTCTGCGTGGAAAAGAAAAATTTAATTAGTAGCCTATGTGTTCTTCCAGGCTTTGTTTACATCTATAACACATTTTAACGAGATCCGTGGAAGAGTTATGGATGTACTTCCTAACAAACATCCATGTATTCATACATTTAAATGCGAATAGCGTTTACAAAACTAGTATTAGGAAGAAAATCCGAAAATGTGGCAGCGTATTGACCCAACACTAGCCTTACTAAAATATCGATGTTTTTGTCCCCACATCCTTTCTGATACTGGACTTTGTAAGGAAAGCACGTCATTCGCGCAAAAGGATTCTAACTAAAATTGTCTAAAACGAGTAAACTTATTGTTTTTTTTTGCAAATATCCGAAGATTTAGAAAGGAGGTAAAGTAAGTTAATGTGAATTCTAATCGAATCCGACAAACATACATCTTGATTAAAATAAATGTTTAATATAACATTATAAT